CCCCCCGCTGGCCCGCTCCCCGGCTCCCCTCCTTCCTTCCCTCCACCTAGCACCGGAAGCCGCGACGGCGACAGGAGATGTGCGGCGAGCCCCCACCCCCAGTCCGGGATACTTCCCACCTCCACGATCGCGCGAGAAGTGCGCGGTAGCGAGCGGCAGTTCTCGCGAGACCCATCACCATGGCAGCGGCTGCAGCAAAAAGCGGTCGGGTGCTGAAGCAGAGCCTGGTGTGGGGGCTGGAAGAGGCTGAGTGTGGAGATGAGGCTGTGGTGTGGGGACCGAGGTGCGGCTCCCAAGCTCCTGGGCCTGGCCTAGAATTGAGGACTGAGACCACATTCGGGCCGCGCTAGAGGCCCGACCTGAACAAGGGAGTGTCTGGGGTTTCTCAGGCTGAGCCAGCGGTGGAGTGTGGATGCGAAAACCTTTGTTGACACCTGCCCCTACTCCGGTCTTTATTTCTAATAAACACGCAGCACCCCACCTGCTGCTGCTGCTGCTCACTGATCCCTAAGGATGGTTTCTCTGAGGTCTGAATCGGGAGATCGTTTCTCATAATGGAAGAGGGGAGAGATTAATGCATTTGAGATACTGGAGGAAACGTCTGGAATCTGGGTCGTCTAGGAAGTTGAAAGACGAAGGGCAGAAATGTTAATTACCCAGAAGCAGGTCTGATGAAGTCTCTTTGGATGAGTAGCCGAGGACAAAGCACCCATGGTCCCTCCTTCCTTCCTTTAGACTCATTTTTCTTTTAAACGTGATGGAGACGCTGCTTGAGACTGGTTAGAAGCTATATTGGAAGCTGCACTAGAGGGGCCCTCACTAGTAAAACTGAACACCGCGTTCTTTTTTTTTTAATTTTATTTATTTATTTTGTATACTGTGTTCTGTCTGCATATATGCCTGAAGGCAAGAAGAGGGTGCCGGATCTCATTACAGATGGTTGTGAGCCACCATGTGGTTGCTGGGAATTGAACTCAAGACCTCTGGAAGGACAGCCAGCGCTCTTAACCGCTGAGCCATTTCTCCAGCCCCCACCACATTCTTTAAATGCATGTCATATATGGAAAAACAGCTTTTCCCTAGAACCTGACCCAAAATTATTGCTCTTATCTTCTTCTGAGAAATAGGCTGGCCAAGTGGTGGTGGCACACACCTTTGATCACCGCACTCGGGAGGCAGAAGCAGACAGATCTCTGAGTTCGAGGCCAGTCTGGTCTACAGAAAGAGATCCAGGACAACAAAAAACTACACAGAGAAACCCTGGTGAAAAACACACACACACACACACACCCTGAGCAAATTGAGAACATGGGGAGAGGGGGGAGGAAGCTACGAGAGTGAGAAGGGAAGAAAAGGAAGGATACAGAGGTCATGAGGAAGCAGAAAGGTTGAGTAAGGAATAAAGTAGAAGAAAGGACATATGATAGGTAGGATTTTAGTTGGGGGGGTGGGAGGGGAGCAAGGGAGGGAGAAGGGAACTGAGATTGTCATGTAATTCAATCTTGTTTGTAATTCAAATATATAAAAAATAAAAAAAAGACTGAAAAAAGAAACACACACACACAAACACACCAAAAACAAAACAAAAAAAACCACAAGCTAGAGAGTCATTACAAGAAGAGGGAACCTCCATTAAGAAAATGATTCCATCAGATTGGCCTATAAGCAAGCCTGTGGACTGATTTTCTTTGACTGATGTGAGAGGGCCTTGCTCACTGTGAGAGGTACCACCCCTGAGCAGGTGGTTCTGTGTTGCATGAGAAATCAGGCTGAGCAAGCCAAGGGGAGCAAGCCTATGGGCAGTACTCCTTCTCCGGCCCCGCTTTAGTTCCTGCCTCCAGGTTCCCACCCTGACTTCCTGCCAGATTCAGTGATGGAATCTGCAGTCTATGAAATGAAATAAACCCTTCCTCTCCAAGCTGCTTTTGGGCATAAGGTTTTGTAACATCAAAATAAACCCTAACCAAGACAGAAACTGATAATAGAAGTGGGATAATTGCTGTCACAGACCTAACCATGTGTTTTGGGGGGAAGGTTGTGATGGCATTTGAACTCTGGGCTGGAAAAGCCATTGCTTACTGAGAGCTCAGTGGGCTGTTGTGGGAACTTAAAAGATAATGCTGAAAGCAGTGCAGACAAAGGAGGTGTGGCTTGTAAACTTACAGGGAGAAATTTGAGAGTCCCTTAAAGATTCTATGCTTGATATTTTCAATTAAGAACCAGTGGTGGTGCCCGCCTTTAATCCCAGCACGCAGGAGGCAGAGGCAGGTGGATCTCTGTGAGTTCGAGGCCAGCCTGGTCTACAGAGTGAGTTTCAGAACAGCCAGGGGTGCACAGTGAGACCCTGTCTTAAGATGAACAAAAAGGAGAAGAGAACAGCATCACTGAGATGATGAGGTGAAATCTACTAGTGTTTTCTCAAGGTCAGCAAGAATCTGAGGTCCAGGGGGCTAAGACTGTACCTCACGCTATCAGCAAGATTTGATAACATGTAAGAATCTCCAGTCTTAAAGTCTGGTCTTGAAGGTATACAGGCGTCACAGAGAGTAGCTAAGGCTTGGCATTGTGAGAGGCCATCGGTGAAGGTTCAGCCTTCACTGCAGTAGAAGCCCCATGATTGAGGCTTGGCATCATGTGGCAGGATTAGAGAATCCCTAAAAAGAGCCCAAGAAAAACTGTGTGTGCATCAGAGACCTCAACATTTTGGAGGTGCCAGTACCATGGGACAACTGCCAAGGAGAAATTGAGTTGGCCTGAGCCAAGGAGACAAGCCAGCAAAGTTGGAGAAATGGAGCTCTTGGGGCCCAGAGAGTGGGGTCCCAGTTGTCAAGCACTGAGTCTCTTTACACTCTTGGACTTTGGCTTTGTAATTGCCCTGGTTTTTCCTTCTTGAAGTATACAAAAGTATGTAACTCAGAGACTTTGGAGTTTTCCAGAGATTTTGGATATTTTAGAGAAACTTTGAACGGTTTTAAAGATACTGGATTGTTTTAAATGTTTGAATTTTTTCGGAGGGGGGGTTTCGAGACAGGGTTTCTCTGTATTGTTTTGGAGCATGTCCTGGAACTCACTCTGTAAATCAGGCTGGCCTTAAACTCACACAGATCTGCCTGCCTCTGCCTCCCAAGTGCTGGGATTAAAGGTGTGTGCCACCACCACCAGGCACATTGGAATGGTGTGTGTGTGTGTGTGTGTGTGTGTGTGTGTGTGTTGTTTTGTTTTTTGAGACATGGTTTCTCTGTAGCTTTCGAGGCTGTCCTGGAACTAGCTCTTGTAGACCAAGCTGGTCTCTAACTCACACAGATCCGCCTGCCTCTGCCTCCCGAGTGCTGGGACTAAAGGTGTGTGCCACCACCGCCCGACTGGAATGTTTTATATCATTACATTAATATTAACATGCGGTATTGGAAGCAACTGAGAAAGGAAAGGTTCTAATTGGATAATGTGTCAAGTTGACAAAGGGTCAGTTGTACCAGCTAGTTTGATGTCATCTTCATACACACTACAATCATTTGGGAAGAGGGAACTACATTTGAGAAAATGCCCCCACCAGATTGGCCTGTGGGCAAGCCTATAGGACACTTCTCTTGATTGATGATTGATGTAGGAGGGCCCAGATCACTGTGGGCAGTGCCACTTCTGAATTATATACGAAAGCAGATAAGGGCTGGAGAGATGATTAGGAGGTTAAGGGCACTGTCTGCTTAAGGACCCACATTGGATTGCCAGAACCCACATGGTGGCTACAAACCATCTGTAACTCCAGTCCCAGGTAATCCTATGCCCTCTTCTGGCTTCAGTGGTCACTTGTATACATGCAGTACAGAGACATACATGTTTAGCTTGCCTAGCAAGCACAAGGCCTGAGTTTGATCCTCAGCTGGGGGTTGGGGGCAAAGAGAAAATGACATGTAGGCAAAACACTCAATACTCATAAAAACAGGTTAAAATTAAGAAAACAGCTGAGCCACCCATGGTGGTACACTCCTCTAATCCTGGTCCTGAGGAAGTCAGCCTGGTCTACATAGCAAGTTCTAGGACAGCCAGGGATCCATAGAAGAGACCCTGTTAGCCGGGCGTTGGTGGCGCACACCTTTAATCCCAGCACTCCGGAGGCAGAGGCAGGCGGATCTCTGTGAGTTCGAGGCCAGCCTGGTCTCCAGAGCGAGTGCCAGGATAGGCTCCAAAGCTACACAGAGAAACCCTGTCTCAAAAAGAGAGAGAGAGAGAGAGAGAGAGAGAGAGAGAGAGAGAGACCCTG